TTACTGTAGGAAGTTGATTCCAAGCAGTGGTATAGGGGCTGTGACGGGAACATTATTGGTGGGTGACAGGGAGTGATATCAGCTGATAAGATCTGATAAGAGGCGTCAGAAAGGGAGGGTCACCGAGTCCATAGCGCGGGACACAGCAACAGTGGGACGTTGGTTCAAAGGTATGATATAGAGGCTGTGACGGGAACATTATCGATGAGTGACAGGGAGTGATATCAGCTGATAAGATCTGACAAGAGGCGTCAGAAGAGGAGGGTCACCGAGTCCATAGCGCAGGTCACAGCAACACTGGGACGTTTGTTCCAAGGTATGATATAGGCTATGGCACAGGAATATTATTGGTGGGTGACAAGAACTGCTAGCAGCTGATAAGATTTGATAAGGGAAGTTAGAATGGGAAGGTCACCATACTCATAACGCGGGACACAGCATCATAGGCGTTGATTTCAGCAAATGATAGGAGAAGGCGACGGCGGGTGACAGGAAATGATAACAGCTGATAAGGGCTGATAAGGAACGTTGCAGTTGTTGTTCAGTCAAAGTGCTGGAGCCTTTACACTACCAAATTATAGAGTTTTAGTGATAGCGACATTGTTGACGGGTGACAGGCAATCTTATCAATTGATAAGAAAGGATAAGGGGACATTCTCACGACATCTATGTACGTATGTAGTACGCCTGAAACAGGAAAGTCAGGGAAATTTTGAGAATTTTTTCTTCCGATCTTTTAATCACTGATGAGAACGAATAATAAAGGAGTATATAGTACTCACAATTAGTTAAGCAAGCGCTGTATTGATCGACTGCACTTTGTATCTATATCTATAGGTCTATGTATTGTATGGGCGTTATGGCGCGGACCGCAAGTATAAGCGTTTGCTAAGGAGTGCAGGATCCGCAGGGTTGCTCTATCTGTTATGATTCGACCACTACAGCGCCGTATGAGCAGCCCAGCGATTGAAAGAGTTCCGTTTACCATTATGGAGCGCGCCTGGCAAAGCCAGCTCGGCAAAGCCGAGCTTAAGAGAAGGAGGAGAGCTCGGCGTGAGCCGGGCAATCTGACTGGTGTTTACTGTAACTCTCAAAGTGTTTCTCATTGAAAATGATAAAAATGCGAACGTTTCAGGCTCATTATTTGGTAGCCAGCCTGCTCAACAAAGTACTGGTCTGTTTGGTAGCACGCAGCCAGCACAGACATCGCTGTTTGGGTCAAATACAGCAAATCAACAAGCGACCACAGGTGGGCCCTTCTTTTATTGCATAATTGCTTCTGAAGAAGTAGATGACGTAGACTTACTTTCACGTTAGAAAACATGTTGGGATAGAGGTAGAGCTGCTCTACGATTTGCTAATATATCTACGCTTTCATTAACGGATTGCTGGAGGCGGGCGGTAGTGTCATTGGTGGAAGAGCTGCAACAGGGCGTTCTGACCAAGCTCTGTGAGAGGGTAGCCAACACCATTCGACCTATGACGATGACAACAACCGCCTGCCTCCAGCAGTCATGCCCACTGCTTTTGAGTCTCTTCATTGTAGCTTTCCTTTTTCACGAAAACTCGTTGCGAGCCTTTTGAATTTCATGATTTTTGAGGTTTTGGTGCCGCTGCTCCAACTACTATAAACGTCCCTGCTGCTGCTCCTATAGTGCTAGGTTCTGATGTGAATCAAGCTCAGGTTGGTCGTTATTGTACTCTGCAGGCTGCATAACACTGTCAATGTATCGAAGACTTCAGTGATTTTTGAACAAAATTATTTGTTTTGCTTGATAGCTGAGCGAACTTTCAGATTCAAATGGCGCTCCTAGATGCACAAATCGCTGCGTGTCCTTATGGTGATTCCCCACTACTGAAGATGGCCACTGCGAAGGACACGGATGAGGCACCGAATCCAATAAGGTCAAATTAGCATGAGATTTTCTAGTCACGTAAAGTTTCCTGCACTTCACGCCATGTATGCCTTTTCAGTACTCAAAGGCAGCTCAAGTTTCTGGCTGCAAAGAGCGCCAAATCATCTCCTCTGAACACTTCGATGATGAATGATAGTACTACTGGCTCTCCATCTTTGAATGGCTCTCTGATATCATCCAAGAGCTCTTTTCTGCCCGTCGTTCCACCGAAGGTAACAGAGCTGTTCTTCTTTTATTTTCTGGGTTTTTGTTCACGATGTTTTAATCTTTCACTAAATTAGTCATACGATCTACGTATGTATTTCACTCCTTTCGGAATTCTCAGTAAAATTCAAAAATGGCGCATTACGGCTTGATGGGGCAGCCAAAGGTACTTGGCCAAAAGTGTACGACCATTGTGAAGACCTATGAATTCTTGCAACCAGTAAGTGGCAATTGTGCCATTTCGCAGCTTTACAGGAGTTTCCAAGTCTCACAAAAGTAAAACCTTTTATTGACAGCCACCCCTCAGCCAACCCGCTCTGCTATAATTTGGAAAAAAAGTTTTTTGATGGATGTTCCCATAAACGCAAGTAGATTCCCGAAATTGTCGCAATTGCAGGTTGGCGACTCGGTGAAATCATCTCCGAAAGTGCGTACCTCATCGATTCCAGGACGGGACCTGAATTATACTTCAAAGGTTGCACCGCCTACACTAGGTAAAGGAATCCGCACAAAAGCTCTGAACAGCTCAAACTCCATCACTAATAGAAGTCTCGACGGAAGTCTTATCAACAAGTATGTCATTTGAGTCATAAGCATGGCAAGGTGACTTTATACCTGACGTACCATGATTTAGGACGGTGGATGCGGCCATTGAAACATCATTGGCTAACGGAACAAATGTGCCTAACTCGGGAAGAAGAAGGAATCTGAAGTATTTGGATTTATCCATGGTGATGCAGGTTATTGGCTCTCGAAGCTCTGAAGGTGACGATGAATCTCAAGGTCGTGATCCGGATGAGTTGCCATCGACTGATAATTATGATGTGGATAACCATGCAGTCTATAGGTAAGCTGATGCAGCATTTTTCTTAACCATGATTTCTTCCAGCTAAATTTTGTGCATCTGTTTCAGTCCTGAAGTCGATCCTAGAGAGGTGGCCATTCAACGAGGTGAGGCTTGTCGAAATGGCACCTTGCCGCGTTTTCAACTCGATGGAAGTGCTTGCGAAGAGTCACTGATGGCTTCGAGCAAATCTCCTGCCACCCAAGGGACAACTGTGACGTCGTCAAGTACGTCATCTGAAACAGCACGGACGTCACCACGAGTTGTTACCTCGGCCACGTCCCAACCGATTGTGCGTCTCAATTCACCGGATTATTTCACTGAACCGACTATAAATGCGATGCGCGAGATGGTAAGAAATCATTATAATCTTTTTGCTGCTGTTGCCAAACATTCGTTAACTTTTCAAGGTCGTCGATGGGAAAGTCGTCTTAAATAACGGACTCACAGTTGGTCGCGCCACATACGGAAGTGTTTTCTGGCCAGGACATATTGAACTAGAAAATGTTGCTTTAGATGAGGTATGGTTCGACTTTAAGAGAGGTTGTTTCTGATTTGTGGTTTTTTGGTACCAAAAGCCGTAGCATCTCTTCATTACTCATATTTGGGCGCAGATCGGCATGGGGATGTGTTTTGCTGGTTCCCGTGAACCTCTGCCGATGCCTTCAGTGGTGTCCTGTAAATTACTGTTGCATGAGCTTGGTATACATTTGACAACAATCTGTAGGTCTTATATAGCGAAACGTGTAATTTTAAGGGAAGTAGCAAGAAAACTACCAGAGGTTCAAATTGCCCTCCACCCCCCTTTAAGCTGGACAGTGCCCAAACCAGTTGGAATTAATTCTCTTGATTCACTTCTTCATTTCTTAAGCTTACATAGCTCTTTAGGGCATTTATCAACGGATAGGCCATTTTCAGATTGTCATATTCCGCCACAAAGAGGTTACTGTTTATCCCGATGAGTCGAAAAAACCTCCGTTGGGTGAAGGACTGAACCGTCCAGCTGAAGTAACTCTTGAAAGGGTATGGCATATTGATAGGACTACTAAGGAGGAGATCAGAGTAAGTGCAGCCTCAATACTTAACACTATAACAGCCAGTCGTAATTACGTCTGTTTGAAGGATCCACTGAAGCTGATTGATCTTGGATGGCGTGATCGTTTGGAGAAGGTTACGGCACGAATGGGTGCCACGTTCAAAGATTATCGCCCTTCGACTGGAAGTTGGGTTTTCCGTGTCGAGCATTTCAGTAAGTACGGATTGCCGGTGAGTATTAGCATTGCCTTTTCTGCTTGTGTATTTCTTAAAAATCGTATTTGTCCTCTTTCACAGGATGACGAAGACGACAATGATGTGGCCGTGGTTCCGAAAGCGCGAGGTGCACCAATTCATCCTAGCAACATATCTGCGCATGACTTGGACACTTCTCTGGAAGAACATCATCTACAGTACCATGTGCAACGTGCAAAAGTGCCAAGGGTAGAGCTTCTTGCTGAAGGAAATGACACAAATAATGAGGTACAGTTGTGATGTCTAAATAAATAAAAACCTGGCTTTTTCAAAACTGTTTAACATTCAGCTCATTTTCGTTGAAATATTGTTTGTGAATAGTTGAAATTTTCAAATGACCTTTGCGCAGTTTGGCTGCTTTTTCTTTTCACGATTAAGTCGTCGTTTGCGACTCTGTTAGTTTCTTAAAAATACCCTGAACAATAAGAGAATTTCTCTTCCATTGCATCTATTTTTTTTTCTTCATAGAAGGGCTACTGGAGTTGAGGAAACACATGATGGCCCAACTAATAATAATTTTACCCGTTTGCGTGTCTGCGTCCCATCGACGGAGTGAATCATTTTTCCAAACATCCTCAGCTTTGGCAGAGCAGTGATGACGAGAACAGGTAACGGCTAGCGTCCCCTTTCCACAAGCCAGTGGCCCTTCATAGCTGTACAGGTACATCTGTTGTACCCTGTTTATTGATAGAATTTTATTACAACGTTTGCTTCGAAAGATTTCATATTTTGTGATAAGCCCCTAAAATTTGCTTGTCTGAGCAATGAAGATTATTGACACCTTGGAAATAAACAATACACTCACCTCCGCGCATTTTGGTCCTCGCCATGTGACTTCGTACTCTACCCCGCGCCGCCGTCCACACGCCTAATCATAGCCAAACGCTTTACTTACCTGCTTTGTCTCACTTGTGGTTGGTCTTTACCACTGAGTATATGTTTCGCGGTGGAACATTAGTTTCGACGGAAGTGCTGAATTTTGAGTATAGCGCACGGAATTCCTGCATCTTTGACGAAAAACGTGCACGCCCCATTTACTCCCAACTTATCACTATCGACATGGAAAGGATCTTTAATCGGAGGTGATGAACAGTTTGTTCTTTGCAGGAGGCATTCTGAGGGTATATCATGAGAAAACATGAGCCGTTTTCTTGTTTCAATGTAATTACCTAACAAATTTAGTGGTACGGCTTCCAGTGGTTGCTTCAACTTAGTTTCATTGTTGAGTTGTCACGAAATTTCGTCGGGTTCTTTCAAAATTTGCACCTGTTGGACGTGTTTGATAGTTGTTAATTGACAGAATGATGTTCTCGTATATGACCGATATTTTGGATGCCCTGGCGAATCACACCAGTTTTGGCGATTCTGTAAATTTTGTGCTTTGAAATAAAGAGTTATTTCAAAGTTTTGCAATTGTAGAACAGAGCAGAAAGAAGGTGGGTGTGGTAGTCTGGGATAGAGGTGGGAAAGGGAACTTCTTTCTTAAAGGTTCCAAATAGTGGTTGGGGAGGTAGAGTCCAGAGTTCTTGACCAAATGGATCAGTACTTCTTTTTTTTTTGTTTTTCTTTTTTTTTTTCTTTTTTTTTTCTTTTCTGCCAGAGTACTATAATAGTAACGTCAGGAGGGCTTGGCACGTACTTGGTCGCGCAATATGTTCTCTGATCGCAAAGGGTTCCTGATGTCATTACCACATTATTTAAGCTCTAGGAAGTTATCCAACTGTACAGTCGCACAGTTCCTACAGCGAATCGAAAAGTAAACGAAATATTTCTTTACTGATTAACCAGTTTCATTGTTTCAATACAGTTCCAATGTTTCTTTCATTGCTCTTAAAAATTACTCGAAGGCTTTTGAATTTGCTTGAATTCTTCAATTTAGATGGTCATTGAGACGGACGTTAACGTGCTGCCGAGCCGGTATATATCTGATGTGAAGGTACGTTCTACCAGTGATTCATGCCGTTTTTTTCTAGCTTATCCTTCAAAGAAAAACGTCGCGACTGTGGACATTTGCGTTCATTTACAAACCTATAGTAGCTAAGTGACTCTTTAGGGAGGAAAAAAAAAACAAAAGATCATGAAGTACATCTTAAGTAAGGACAGCCCTCCGGACGAGCTCTTCAGACTTGGCCGTTTTATGCCAGCGAAGCGGGATCCTGTCCCTCCGGCTCACTAGTCTTTTCTTCGCGTCATCCAATGCTGATGCCATCCAAAATACAAAAAAGTGGGGTGTAAAAGCGAAGCTCATGACAGAAAATAGCCTTTGAGTTTCTTTGAGCGGGACAACTAGGGAGGCGTCAGAACTGCCACTAATGAGGGACTATCGCCTTTGTTCCTTACTGTTGAGTCACGAAAGTGGAATAATGTTGAAGACAGGGGACTAGACTACTTGTACAAGAAAGGACAGCTACGAATTGCTGGAGCACGGAACTGTCTTCAAATTCTCAGTAAAATTAGAGAACGTTAGTCATGAATAATATTCATGATTGAAACGTCATGCAATTTGATTTTATGGTCATGTGTTGTTCACGGAACCTAAATGAAGCATTGTAGGTAGTAGGCTTAGGAGGCCGAAGAGATTTGGACTACGATGATGATGCAATGTACGATGATTATGATATCGCTAACTGGAGAGATAGCGAGGCGAGATTTCATTTTATTGAGTCAAGTTAAGTTTGGTGGTCATACTTAAATAGGTTTCATTTTTAGGAATTTCAGGTTCCAGAGAAGAAGCCGAAAATGGAAGAGGTTTTGGATTACGTCTATGAAGAAAGCAAGTAAGTTGTTTTGAATTTATCGTGTTTGAAGTGAGAATTTTCTTATGGCTTTAGGCGACTTATGGAGCTTTCAACGTTATCTGCACGACCTGTTCGTCGGATAACGCTTACCCGCAGCGAACCGACCAATGTATTTCGTGGTGGAGTCCAGGTTTGTTTGATAGGAGTTTTGAGCCAAGTGTGGTTTGTGCTTTTAAGAGTCCTTATGTTGCGCTGACTGAATTTTTTCCTTTCTTCAGCCATTTTCCATAATTCAGGCCAGTAAAACTGTTGGATACAAAAAGAGCACTATGATAAACACAGCATGCGCCCGTGGGTCAACTAGCCGTGTCAGCTGGAGCCAAGGCAAGTGGCTAGCTTGTTCGGAAGAACTTGCATGACTTTTCTAGATCAAAGGCAGTTGGCACGATGGCTGGGGCGGGCGGTTACCTCAACGTCATTGGTGGAAGGGCTGCGAAAAGACGTTTGGCTACGCGCCATTCAGCTCTTCCACCAGAGACGTTGGCAGTAAATGCCCGCCTCGGCCAT